CTCCTCACCGTAGCAGTTGTTCTTTCGGGCTCGCTGAAATCCGACAACTTCTTCGGCGGCGGTACTTAATGTGCGGGAAATGTGGTTCCACTGCACGCATATGTCGGTTTGTTGAAGAGTGCTTTCTGAGAGCAGGTGTGAGAGTCGAGTAGCGAATGCATTGGCTGTCGGTTGTGATTGCAGCTTTTCGACGTTAAGCTTTCCTTGCATATTCGGGGCATTTTTTTTGCTGCACACAGGCGGGTGCGTATCTTGGCTGTGGTCCGAGTCGATGTTTGGGCCTCGGAGTGTACATACGTCCAAAACACTGGACACTTGCCTTGCCCCGTCCAACGCATTTCTTGGATGGCGGTGATGTCAGCTTTTGTTCTTACGAGGACATCGACCAGTCGGGCAGAGGCACCTTCCCCATTAAGGGTCCGGACATTCCAGGTGCATGCCCTCAAATTGAAGTTCATCAAATATAGCGAATGTTCGAATTTTGTATGTACATATGGGCCATTCCATACAATATTTACACCTCGATATTTTTTTTGGAGTGAAATATATTTTTGTACATTCTTCATCGAAAAAAAAGAAGGCACAAATTTTTCTACTTCGTCATGATATTCGAAAATCATGATAGGGAAAAAACCCTAAATTTTGAGCGCAGGTGTGAAAAAACTCATAAATTCTACAGTTTTGTTGTTTCCATTCTCAAATTTTTGCAGTGTACTCCATAAAATTTGACAACTATTCAGGTTGAAAAAAATAAAAATCGAACATAGTATAGTTAATAAAAAACTAAAAAATAAAAAATGCAGTTTTTAATGCAACATTTTTTTTTTTTAATCTATCTCACACTCTCATGGAAAGCCGAGGTAATTACGTACATTTTGATGCCTGAACTTTTCTCCGATAAATAGTTTATTAACTGCAAACAATTGAAAAAAGATACTTCTCCGTGAGCAGTGTTGCCACTATTCGTCTTTTTCGACAAAATTCGGTCCCTTCCTTTTCATTTGGTAGGTTGGTCGGCAAAGTAAGATTTTGTCGGATAGTTCAATTATGTTTTTAAATTCTTAATTATAAAAATATACATTTCAAACATCATTTTGCTTATAAATATTTGCCAATTGTACCTTTTAAACACTTGCCCATCCTGCCTTTAAAAATAAGAAACCTAATTGGTTTGGCCACTGATGGAACCAATGTTAGGCCCTGTCTCCACAGGAAAACACTGATGTCGTGATAACCATGTCACAAAATATATTTCCAATGGAGACCGCCTATTTCTTATGTGCTGCAATATATGTCAGCGCTTATTGCTTGACATCTATTGCAGGCAATTCGATAGTTTGACAGCCATATTTTCATTTGAAAGAAAGCGTGTTGGTGGTAACATCGATGAAATTTTAATATTAAATCAAAATAAAAATCTGTTCCGTATTGGATAATTTATGATTACGTTTTAGGAAATTATTTAGCTAGTTTTTTAAAGATTTAAATGTTTTTAAACACCGAAATTGAGAGAATGTTGTCTGGTGGCGTCATGCGGCAAATGCTTATTTCAAGACATCAAAGTGCCCACACACAAAAACTTGCAATCATATTTATCGTCAAAATGACAGTTGGTAGGCCATCGCTGTTCGCCTGTGGAGTTCTGCGGTTAGAGCTGGAGTCTTGGGCGGACTGAAAACATTATTGAGTGCATAAACCGATTTATTTTATATAAAGTGCACATGCCACTCACTTCACCTTTGCTCAAGCTTGTAAAAAATTTCCGAAAAGCATTGAGACACTGTGCCGCAACATATATAGTTTCTTTTCTCACAGTCCAAAGAGGATATATGAACTGAAGGAATTTTAGGACTACTGTTCGGTAAAACCCCACAAAATCTTGGGCATATCTTAAACACGATGGCTTTCACTAAGAAGCGTTAAGAATAATTGCGTAATGGGATAGTTTGAAACTTTATTTTATTTCCTGTTTTAAGGCCTGTATGCAGTTCTCAAGAAAAGCTAAAATTCCATACAAAATGACGTACAAGAAATGGCTAAGAAATTTTCTTGAGCCAAATTTCCTTCAGACAGTACGCAGTTCTTAAGAAATTTGCTACGCTTTTTACTACGGTTTTCTAAAGTTTTTTGTGAAAAAGGAGCACAAGGCAACCCAGGTTTGCAACAGAAATATATGCCCGTTCCGTTATTTCTTGAGAAAAGAGTGAGGCAACAGGCTGTGCAGTATCAAAAATGTCAAAATTCCTTGGACACACACACGAAATAATGGCAAATTTTTCTTGACCGATTTCTTGAGAGCTGCATACCAGCCTTTACGAAGTAAACGATATGCGATCTGCAGACCTGATAGAAGGAGTGTGTTGCAAAACCAAATGCTATTTTTTATTTCTATTGTATATTTCCCCATAATTAACAATCTTAGCAAAGAGTTCCAAGCTGAAAGCTCTCGTTTGCCATACTTATATGCAACTAGCAAAGCACATTATCTCTTAATTTTGAGTAACTTTATTAAAAAATATGTGATCACTTACATATTAGGAGTGTTCGCTAGGCAACTGCCAGTAAGAATTAGCCAGCACAGTATACAAGAATGATAGAATACAAGATTGCGCCAATCCGTGACGTCAAAAAATACCAGAATGGACTTTATATGCATACATGATTTTATTGGAAGGATGCCAATTCAAATTAATAAACATCAATGTTTCTTGCAAGACGGTCGATTTGTTCTGGCATGATTGAAGGTGCTGCCACATATTTTGTTGTCGCTTATGATTGTCACTGTGCCATGATTTTGTTTAAATTTTTGTAAAGTTGCCTACCACACTTACGATTGCTATAAATTTTGCTTAAAGTTTTTTTCGAATTTTCTAATTTGGTGTCCTCAGACTAAAACCAAAAGCACCAAAAACGCACCAAGCACCAAACTCAAAATTTTTCGCGTTTTGAATACCCACTAAAGTTGGTGCGAAGAGCATGAAGTTGGCAACAGTGAATGTAAACAAAAGTATTTTATGACGTTAGCGATTGGGTGGATGCTGTCAAATCGACGAAGAGAGGGTTAGCGGTCCGCGAATGGCGCGACCTTTATTTTCTGGATCGTGCACAGTATATGTATACCAAGGCGAATTTATACAAGGTGGTGTTGATGGCGAATTTAGATTTTCGCCGCGGTACTTATTAATGTCAAAATGATGTGTTTGTTGTAAAATGAATTCGCCATGTTTACAACATCAACACCACCTTGTATAAATTCGCCTTGGTATATACAGTAATAAACCTTTTTGTGTACCCCTGGGGGGTAAAATCTGATCAGGGTTGATAATGAGAAGAAGCATGAATTTTGCCGATTCAGAGTTGCACACAAATTTACTGTGGTATGAAAGGGAGCAACAACCGTACTTTGGCAGAGTGGCACAGGTAATTTTGTAAAAAGACACTTTTCTTATAATTATAAGAGATAAATGCTATTTATTTTTCAATATTCCGATATCCAGCGTGTAGCCAGAGGCAGTGGCATGTGAGCCTCACGAATATTCCTTGATAAATTCACAAAATTCACTTTTTTCATAAAAATATAATCTTACAATGGATATTGTATTGATTTTAAACTGACATTTATGAAAACTCCATTCAGTGTTATCATTACGATTTGAGTTTCCAGTTTACAGAAACACAAGCAATAATTATGTACTTTACTATTGATATTATTCTTAATTAAGCATTTTGGTAGAACGGTTACCGAGATACATATATGGGATCATAAGTGGGCGATGCCACGCCCGTTTTCCAAAATTTTATCATAAACGTATTTCTTGGTAAAGGATTGTTGCAAGCATCAATTTTGAATAAATTAGCTTTAATATTTACTGATTTATCGAAGATTTCGTATTTCTCCAAATTACCGTTATATGGGAGGTAGGCGTGGTTATTGTCCGATTTAGCCCATTTTCAACACCATCCGTCCTACGCCCGAAAGAAGTGCACGTACAAAGTTTCGTTAAGATATCTCAATTTTTACTCGAGTTATCGTGTTCACAGACG